CCTAAGAGTATTTTGAAATGATTAACACCTGGGAAAATAAAGAGGGACATTAGCATGCATTACCACTCAATTTCAATTAAAAGTATTTTGTCTGGTACTTCAAACTGAGGACAGCTGTGTTTATTGTGTTCTTTTATTACATTCTTTCTCGTAAGTAATTTCCCTTAATCTGTATTCGTGAAAGATGCCGGCTGCAATGAGCCAAAACTAAAATAAACAGCTCAGCATGGAATAAACAAAGCTTACGGGTTGTAAAATGGCGGTTACACATTTAATGACCCCGAGCAAAAGGCAAACTCCTTAAAAGTCAACAGCTGTGACTCGTACATTGCAAAGGTCTTATTTCCCCGAGAAATGTTGTGTTTAGTTTGTTGTCCTTCCCCCGCACCTCCGATTAGCACGGTTGGCGACGTACGATGCGAAAGAAGTTCAACATACCAAAATAGCCCTCAATTTTTCAAACAAATTAAAATACTTTTTTTTCAACTTCAAATCGAGCAAACGGGTCACTTGTAAAACACGAAAGCATCCTCGACTGGGCCTCCCTGATGCCCCTACCACAAACAAACAGCCGCAAAATTTGGTGAGGAACATTTAACGAAACATTAAAAGAGACAGATGCCCAACGCGGCAGATTTAAAATGAGCGAGCGTGCGGCACATTGAGCCCAAACGTTAGCTGTTGTGTGGTGGCGGTAGTGGTGGCGGTGGTGGCTTTTTACCTTGGTGGTGGTGGCGACAATTGGCTTTGTTGAAGACGAGGAGCGGCGGTGGTTCGGGGGAGGGGTGGTTTTTAAATCCTTTATATTAAGTTCACTTGCTTGCTTGCTTGCGCGCTTACGACCGTGCAAATCTTTCGGTCGTTTTTTAACCCACTTCCCGTGATCCAATCGAGCTGACATTTTGCACACAGACTCGTTGTGCGTGACAATTTATTTTCGTGAAAAATGTATCCCAAAATTTTCCACTTTTTAGGAATTTTTTTTTTCATATTTAATTTAAAATACCAATGTGATAAAAATGAAACTCTTACTCAAGAAAAACAGAAATGAATAATAAAATAAAACCGATGCCACGCATATAAAGGATTTATAGTGAAAAACTTTGTTTATACGGGTTAATTTTTTTTTACCTTGGTGGTGGTGGTTGTGGCGAGTTGGCTTTGTTGGAGACAAGGAGCGGTGGTGGTTCAGGGGGGGAGGTGGTGGTGGTGGTTGTTCAGATGCCATGCGGAGAGCCCTGCCCGAGCTTGCGATTGGCCGCCGTGCGTCGGTGTGGTTACTTGACGTCGAGCAAGTTTCGGACGGTTTCCATGATTAATGATGGCAAGTAACCACCCGAAACCTGCTCGACGAGTCGAGCAACAACGGCGGCCCTTGCCTCGGATGACGACATACGGAGGAATAGAAGAAAACACCTCCGCTCGCTCGACGATGCCCCCAGATGCTTGGTTGCCTCGGTTGGGGGAATTGAAGCTTTTCTCGTAACTTGATCGATCTTTATTCGTCGATTCAGTGCGACCATCCGTGCAGCGACGCGGTTCACGTCACCAGCTCCCGTCGCCGGCCCAGCTAAGCCCCTCGGATCGCGCGTCTTTGGAAGAGTTGGGAGGTTTGGCAGAGCCACTGCTTGTGGTTATGGATGTTGGAACTTGTTTCGCTTGTGCACGTGAATGCAAGGGACCCCCGTATCCACGCAGTAGTTCTGAATCAAAGTACAACTTCCTAGATTCGTATACATGTGTTTTTGTTACTTGTAATATTTTCACAGATTCCTCGTTAACGTCATCAGCATTGATATATTAACCGCTGGATGAAGGCCTCTCCATAGCACTTGCAACCTCTCACGTCCCATCATCCTGCACACGAGATGACTTCATCGTTTCTATCTCCGCGGGGGTGGATCATCTCATGTGTGTCCACTCAGCCGTCAGTTTCGACCACCGCCCATCAACCCCTTCTCGACACGTGTCCAGCCCAAGCCCGCTTAATGTTGGTAACGGTCAATATACGATGACTCTGTGACATATTGGCTCAACTTAGATGTTGTTTTATGGAAATTTTGAATAAAGACAATGCTTGAACATTTTACTCTTTATCTATACCAAAGTGCGGGCAGGGGTTCGCTTTGTCCCCTCACATTAGGAATTGCGGGTTCATATAATTTATGTATTGTTAATATTAATTGTAAACTACTGAAAATAAATGTATAAAGGTGCCCAGTTTGGGATGGCGTTGCCCCCCCCCCCCGGTGCCCCCCCTCCCCCAACTCTCTACTTACACAATATTTGCCTTCTCCATGTCAACAAAATACAAACAATGTTGGATTTGATGTTGCAATCATGATCCGATGTGGAATTCACGTAATCATAGTAATCTGTGTTGCTCTCCAGGTTGCAGCAAAAATGTGACCAGTCTGTGAATTCCACAGTCAACGAAAGAGTGAACGTGGCAACGTCGGCAAATTGTCCGTCGTTGGCAAAGTGGCGGAGGAGGCGACTAAATAAATTGCACGTTGCTAGATTCCTGTCAGCCAAAGACACGTGTCGTTACTGAAATATGTTGCGTGTGTGTTCGTGCACATGCATGCACGCAAACATGCACACACACACAAAAATAGATAAACCAATCTTAGCTCAGAGTATTACGGTTATGTGTCATGAGTCTGGTGTAGAAGCGTTATGGCCAGAGACAAAAATTACCACTTGGCCTGCATATGACGGTGAGACAAATGCTCATAGCGAGCACCTATTAAGTCTGGCACAGCACACACGTGAGTAATGTGATTAGCTCCACGCAGCCGCCTTTGTCTCGCCAATGGCAACAAATCACGCCAGGCATTTGTTTTATGCTGATCTGACCCACATAAAGGCTCGGGTCATATTCAAAATACAAACGAACACTGGCGTTGCGCGTAATGGATAAAACATATATTCACACACCAATTGCCACTGTGTATATAATGTCTAGAAATTAATCGCAGGTTGTTGCCACAATTAAATTATAAGCCTATTGCGCCAAACGCACACACACACGTATGCAAGCCTAATGCATGGATATGTGATATAAGAATTGCTTTTTAAAAAAACGGTGGCTTGCCCTGGGCTGTACGTGCAGAGCGTCGTGATGGCAGCTAAGATCCACGCAGCCAGATCACAAACTGATTTTCGCCATGAACATGACTTGTGCTTCAAAGACTGACACTTTGATAATGTGACAAAACAAATAGTTGCACGGGTGAAAGTGTTTTTTAAAAGTAAAATGCTGTCTGGTGTAGACAAATCAGCTTCAAATATAATGCATATATTATCAGAGCATCCTTAATACAGGTTTTTTTTGGGTTAGATCGCGTAAAAAAAAAAATTCGTCGTTAAACCCACCACCACTCGGCACAGCCAACTAGTAAGGTTTGTAACGCAAATAAAACATGCCAAATCATTACTAGCACAGCGCACCAATGTGTTGGAGAGTAGAGAGTAAACCCACAACATTTACAATTCGAGTACGACGTTTCGCCAGTAATTACAACTGGCATCATCAGGTCACAGCCAGATTTGATATCAGAGCATGTTTGTTTACATGTTCACCCCAAGTACTGTGTGTGATTAGTGCAGACTTTATTCCTTGCAAAGGGTATCTAGATGGTGTTTGAACATCTTGACATCTGTTTTGTTGCCAGAAAGGGTAAAACCTCTTCTTATTTTCATACTTTGATCCTGGCAAAAAGGTCCCATGATAAAAATGTACCATGTTGTTTTAACCGATTAATATACCAAATATGTATGATTTGAACAAATGGCTACATTTCTATGCAATTATTATATCTTGAAACAAACAAAACCATTGGTGGCTTTTATGATTCTTAAATGGCAAATTGTGGAGAGGAAAACATACACAATATAACTTTCCTAACAAGACGAAGGGGGAGTGACTTTGCTATTGAAAACTGTCCATTGTGAATACGTTTGTCATGTTTTTAATGGACATTGCATAAATCTGGGCATCGAATAAAAGTGGTCGATACTGGTCTTAATGACTCGTAAAAATGCAACGCGTTGAGGAACTACGAAGCAGTTACTAAGTCATTCATTGTGATGAGAAAAAAAAGAAAGTTTGTCAAAACATCTCTCAATATGTTGTAAAATAACGTTCTACTTATAGTACTTTGCAAAATACAAAAGGAAGGGTCAGCTGTTCCTGGGGTGAGCGGGCATTTGCTCTGTCTGCGCCTCGGTTGTGGAATTCCCTCCCGCTGCTAATTAATGTATCCGTTAATGTGGATTCTTTTAAGTCTCGTCTAAAACACATCTACTTACGTTCATTAATTCTACTTGGCTTCTCCTTCTCTCTATTGACCTTTCCTTATTCTTACAAGCCGCCTTGAGACATTAGTGGAAGGCGCCTTACAACTAAATGTAAATTATTATAAAGTACTGAACCATAATTAAAATTACAAATGCGTCTTTGTTGCTAATGACTATGAATGCCGTGATAACAAACTAAAATCTCACGGGGTTTTGGGGCATTGGGTAAAGAATGAAAGGAGACACTTAGGGACCACTGTTTTCCGTTTTAGACAGTTAATACATGAAGGCAACGGTCTATTATCTTTGTTGACATTTATGAAAAGAAAACGAATACATTTATATCGAATACTTTTCACGGTCATAAATTGAAACAATACTCGGACATTAAACAATGCACAAAACGCGAGCCGACAATATCTGCCCCACGATTCAGCGGCGTACTTAAGCACTTTTACACATTTCCAGTAAACAAAAAAAGCTCCACTTTATAAAATGAAATAAATCAACTTTTTTCAATGTGAGGCCTGGGGCGTGTAACGATCCACCCACGGTTCAATTCAAGACTCAATTATTTAGTTTAACGGCGTGGTGAAATGTAAGGACCTCTAGCGTCTAGAGGAGTCACGTAAATAACTTACTCATGGCAAAACATTGAATCTGACCACAAGCGAATGTACGAATCCACTTATCTTGTGCTTAAGAATTTAAATCAATAGATGAATCGTTACACCCCGACGAACACTCTTTGAATTATCATAAAGCAAGTTGTGTTACATCAGGTTTTTTTCACGTGACACAAAGTAACTAAATCCATGGGATATTCACGTCAACATTAAGCAAGTTACAGCATTTTTGGGGCCTTGTTTGAAGACTGGTTAACACGGTGAATAACACGACCAAAATGTAGCGTCAAAAATTTACAGCCCATTGTCAATCAGCTGCTGGGTGAAGGCCTCGCCATGCCATATCCATCAAGAGGGGTTATTTGACCATACTTTAACACGCTGGTCATCGTGGGTTGGTGATGGTCGAGTTGATTTAGATGTCACTTGCCACTAATTTTAAGCTGTAACTGGGAATTGAACTCAGATTTCTGGGTTCTCTAACCACTGCGCAACACACCCCCTGCCGCAACCGGCCAATGATAATGTAGCTCAAATACCCACTGATGGAAATGAAAGTGGAGCCAGTCTGTACTCAAGAGAGGTTGGGGAAGTCAAGACAATTTAAAGTTAACCTGTCCTCAAGCATACTTATAGACCCTCTTTAAGCACACACTTCAATAGACATTTACTATAAACATTCTTTTCATCTTAAATTGTTCTTCCAAGAATATACAAAGCCCTTTTGGCCCGATCACGACCCTTGACTTTGCCACATATATACACATGACTATATTAAATAAACACATTTGGAAAATAAAAATAGCCATGTTTAACTTACGTATGTTTAACTTACATTGCATCGGTCTGGACTTTACCCGGAAAATATGAGCTTCAAACTGATCTTCATAACGAACCGTAGAATGAAACACTTCACGTGGTTCTCAAAGGAGAACCACGTGTTCATGCTACGTTGGTCCGTATTTAGAAAGGGCTCTATCTATATATCGAGGTAAAGTATTGGACAATCCTACTTTTGGAGCTGGAAACAATCAAGGTGACTGGAAAGAGAGCCGACTGATTTAATGGTCCACCAATGTCCCACCGCCACATAGCAGGGGTCTTATTACACTGGTCAACACACTTTTTCTGGCATAAGGTATTCCAACGGTTTTAAGGTAATTTTGGGGTGCTGATTCGAAATCTGGCATCAGTTTTTGTCTATCACATCAGGTTGTTGAGATATCGAATATTGCATTTTCAATAAAAACTGCAGAAGAAAAATATTAAATAAATGTGGATATCTACATAAAATGATATTATAAACACACTATCCTAAAAATACAGCACCATATTTTAACACTAAAGCAGTCACTGACTCGCAACAACTTGCAATCATAAGTGACAGAGTTAATTTCGGGTAAAATCAATGAAAATGGGGTATGCCGATAGCAGAAGAATGAGATGTGATAGAGCAAATCTGAGATCAGATTTGGAATTGGCACTCTGAAATTAGTCTAAAACAGCTGCAAAAGTCCAGGCCAGAAAAAAATAATTTTTTTGTTGTTGACCAGTGTTATAGCCACCCAGACGGGGCCTCTGATGCACTGTCATAGACATTCCCGTGATCACAATGACCCTCAACGTGCCCAAACAAATCAGAGTTCAGAAGCTAAGCAAGTTCCGCCTGGTTACTGCTTGAATGGATGACCACGGGGGCTTGCCAGATGTCGTAGGCAGGGCCTGTGGGGAGGTCAGGAGATCGCACTCCACCAATGGATTGTTGAATCAATCTGTGCAGAGTTTGGGTGTGTTAGCACTCTTACGTATGGGTGTTCTCCGGGTATTCCAGTCTCCTCCCACGTACCAGAAAGTCTCCAAAACAGAATTGGCCAAGCATCCCAATGCGGTTCCCTCCTCAAGAGTCTTGACACTGAGGTTTGTATTGGGTTCATATTTTGGCATCATTATAAACACCAGGGGCACACGTAACAGAGTTAGTTGAATTTCATCCAACATAACTGTCTTTTTATTAACATACGTAATTCTTACAGTTTATTTTAACATATATTTAAGATATATTAATTTTCCCCAATTGCCGATGCTGATAACAAATTATACGTTTTTCAGCTTGATTATTCGTGAAAGTTAAGGTCACAAAAAAGCGTTTCTTTGAGCACGTGACCAGTGGAGATTTCAAAACAATGTTGAATGTATTGGGTGTTATGTATGTACTCGTATTTTGTTAAATGTATTTAGCAGCAATCATATACACTATTTGCATATGTTAACCATAATTGACTGCTATATGCACAGTTTCAAGACCACATATATTTGATCCACTCATGTCTCACTTGATCGTGACCATAATCATTCCTGAGATGTATAATGATGTTCTTTTCACATTCTAAGATATATAAGGTGCAGCCCTGTAATTTATTGCTCAAGGAGGGTAATTTGGCCTACTCTTCCCTGCTAGCCTGGCATCTTGGAAGTTGTGGGAGCACCCAAACGTAACCCCACCACATGCGGTCTGTTGATTGACTTACCGTCTCGTTTGCTTAACCCTGAACAAAATAAAACTGCACTTTTCCAATAAGCTTGTAACAAAAAAATACAGTATATGAATACTGTGTCATATACAGTATATTTACACACACACATACACTCGTACATATTTTACCTATTAACTGAACCTCACTTTGTTAGTTCGCCACAAAAAAAAACCTAATCAGGAGCAAAACGTGACGGCTTGAAACGTGAATACTCGTGCGGCCTTTAATATAACCAGAGAAACATTCTGACTCTGAGCAAATCCATCACCAGTATCACGTTTCCCCCATCGTAGCCATCGGCCGGCTCAAGTGGGCACAACACCCATTGAAGGGAGCAAGGGGGAGCGAGTTGAATGAGGTAAAGAGGTCACGGACACAGCTCCGTTTCCAAACCTTCTCGCAACGCTGGGGTGAGAGTTTTAGTTTTTACGATGGATAGCATCTCCTCGGCCGCGGTCAAAACGTTCTCGTTTTGGTGATCGAACGAAGAGGCCACCGTGTCCCGATGTGTTGTGATGGGTTATTTGTGACGGCTTGATTGAATAATTTGATCGAATATCAATGTTCGCATGTAGGATGTGCGGGACCATCACGTACGAAGTGGTTATACGAGTTGCTTCTGGCCTCTTTAAGTAATTTACACCTGTGATGGCTGTATTATTTAAAAAAAAAAACTTTGGGTCATTTATCTATGATTATATTGACATTAAGTTGATTTCAATTGTGTATTATTGTATATAGATCTGCACACTATATTCTGACAATGAGATATATACTCATATAGATGCCATTTAGTGTTTTAAAATGTGGCTGCTTGATAATACACAGTTGGCAAAGATGACATTAACCTGCAAGTCGGATGATTTACATTTTTTATAAGAGGGTATTAATTGAAAAATAAACACTGCACAGTTTAACATGGGAAAACATCTGTGCCGAATAGACTTGTATTGTGAGCACGCGTCTATGTTAGTGATGTTCAGCCTTAAATATACATGTGCATAGGATTAAAAAAATTGTAGGCCAATATTTTAGGTGTGTAAATTAGCTCTTGACCCGATAAAAATATTTTACTGGTTCCTATATCAGCACTTGGTATGTAAATTCATATTAATTCTACATTATAAACTGTTAACTAGACGAGACACCCTCCAACAATGAAATAAAAAAAATCTATTGTTCTGAAAGCCATATTTTTTTGTGTTCATTGTAACACACGGCAGTCAACGCCAATGTAAAAATGCGTGCACTGGGGAGCCCATCGTACGACCACACAGTCACACGAAGCGCGATACAACAACACAATCACACGACACACAAGGGAGGAGGCGATCAGAGTTGAAGAATGAGGGCACCTTGGTACCATCATCAGCTTTCCGATCGTTGTGGTGGCTCGGTGTCTCTCTCTCTCTGCGAGGCGTTGAACAGCTATCCAGATGCTCGCTGACCGTCTCTTGTTAACCTGGGGTTAAGGGTTCATCGTAGAGGGGGGCGTCCTGTGGGGAGAATCGAGAGGAGGGTCAGGTGTGAACGCGTGGCAAATCTAGCGTTGACAGAAGGAACAGATCCCTGCAGTGCTGAGAGATGATACCAGCGATCCCACACCCTGCCTTATATACTCGTATAGACAAACGTCGAATTATATATAGACGATAACCTCTCTGAGGCTCGAGGCTTTTTCCACAGGGTCCTGGGATTTGAGGACCCTGTGGTTGGTTAACACAACACCAGCTCGAGAGAAAATGTCCCTGAATTTCCTAAAGAAATCAGCTTTAAGGGAAAAAAAACACATTCCTGTGGAGGGAGCTGGTAGGAACGTTGAGTTGCTCGGTCAATGGCCGACTGTGAGGGCGGGCACAAGCCGGCGTGAGTAGGTTAAACGTTGAGTTTTATAAGGGCACCACGGGGTGACCAGCCCCTCCCTCCCCACCCAGCCCCACCCCTCCCACCCCCCACCCAGCCCCACCCTCCCCTCCCCACCCAGCCCCTCCCTGCACGACGGACACAATAATCCCCTGTGGGCTGGTGTAACCAGGAGGTTCCTACCAGTAAAACTTCGCTTAGGGTGCATTTGTGCAACTGGCCACCTGATAAAACAGATATACAAGCAAGCTACTTGCTTGACCCTCATGCAATGGCCACCCATTACATTTACAGAACAATGCGCTCACAACACTTGCATCTCTTCACACTCCACTAACCACACCTATACCAACTCCACCAAACCAACTCCACCATTCGGACTGTGCTTTCAATTTGACGACGTGGAGTGATGGAACCATGTGTTCGAACTTAGGCATAGCAGAATAATGTCCTGTATGTTCCAGAACTGCCCACAGAAGTGTTCTTGGATATTTCGGTAAAGTCACGTAGAAGGGAAATAATAAAATAATAATAAAGAAAACATAATACAATTCTCACGACGTTTCGGCCAAAACACAAGCAGCCGCCCTCAGGTGAAGAACATAGCTGTCGGAAAGGTTTCATAGAACTACGATCTTCTTTATGTGTGTATGTATGTTGAACTTCTTTCGCACCGTACGTAGCCAACCGTGTTCATCGGAGGTGCGGGGGAAGGACAACAAACTAAACGCAAAAAGCAACTCGATACATGCTTCAAGAGACTTATTTTTATCCGTACACTAGGTGGCGAACTTTCTCTCAGGTGTGGCTCATAGAGAGTGCCCATTGTTGCGGGAATTAAGGCAAATAGGCAACATTTCATAGCGCCATTGGTGGGGCAGACCGAGACGATCAACTGGTTTTATTTTATGCAACTGAATTCGAACCCTTACAAACAGTTTACCTTGAAAGCTAACCCCCCTTTTCCTGAAGACGACCGCTTGTGTTGCGATCGAAACGTCGTAGTTTTTTGTTATTTTTGTTATTTTCTTTGAACCTATCCTACGTGACTTTACCGAAAGACCCAAGAATATGAATTCGAACCCTCTGACTCCTGGGCCACCTGGCCCCCCCCCTCTCAGCTGTTCCTCGTCTCCCAAGAGAAACATACACAACAGTAAGTGCATGGAGCGGTGGTGCGACGGTTAGCATGCCGCAAGATGAACCCAGCAACCCGAGTTTCACTCCTGGCCATGGCCAACATCAGTGGTGAGTGGCATCTGAGCCGTGGTCGGGCCAACTCTCTTTATCAAACCGTACTGACGAGCGTGGTGAATTTCTATTTAAAGATTTCGTGACTGCAGGGATTCATCTTCTTGGTTCTTTCGGTAAAGTCACGTAGAAGGGAAGTAATTAAATAATAAAAATAAAACATAATAAAATAATTCTCACGACGTTTCGGCCACAACGCACGGCTGCTTGCGTTGTGACCGAAACGTCGTGAGAATTGTTTTATTATGTTTTATTTTTATTATTTTATTACTTCCCTTCTACGTGACTTTACCGAAAGAACCAAGAAGATGAGCGTGGTAAAGTATGGTCACGTCACCTCTGTGACAGACATGGTATGGGAAGGGCCTTCATCCAGCAGTGGATTGAGAAAGACTTTAAATAAAACAATTACATAGATATGTTCCTGCTGAAGTGAACTCAATATCTCATTAAGCATTTCGAAATCCTGAAGGCATTTATAAATGTAACAATTTGGCATAGCATAAGCGTAAAGTAGTTATATCCACAGTGCAATGAATGTCAATGCTCCTGTATGTCAAATTGGCTCTGTATTACTGCCCGGTTTCCCTTACTCGTGTTTTATTTATAGTACTTCACTCTGGAGCGTGAGTAAAATAACACACAACACACCCCGTAGTGAATGTTTCATTGCAAACGTGAACTTTCTCGTAAAAAATGAAAATATTAAATGTGCACGATAAAAAAAGTTTGGCTCTCGAATGTCCGTACGTCCGTGCTTACCAGTAATGTTCTAAGTACACCGCCTGCCAGAGACGTAACTCTTGCACGCATTAAACACACGGAATATTTGCGGCGAGGGTCTTTTTTATAGCTACCCTGGGGAAAGAGCCACTTGAGGAATCTGTTCAATCGCCCTACAAATGCAGCCATTCATTCCACCAGTACTGGTAACAACACAATATATATCTCACAGCTTTTCCCTGTTTTAATACACTAAAGCAGCGGTCAGGAACCTATGGCTCGCGAGCCATATATGGCTCTTCCGGTGACGGCATATGGCTCCCAGACAATTTTTGAGTTGAAAAAAAAAATCTGTTTGGAACTGATTTTAAAATACTTGTGATATTGCTTAATAATACCGTGTCATTTTAAAGTAAACAGAAATTAGTTTTGAAGATAAATTTCACGGGTCACGCCTGCACGAAGCTCAACCTCACCACGTATGAACCAGACTACAAGGCCATCAGCAAAACCATGCAGCACCAGAAGTCGCATTAAAAGTAAGACATGTTTAATTTATTATACGTTAAAAATTACTATATGGCTCGCAATGAAATATATTTAGAAATATTGGGCTTTTATGGCTCTCCCAGTCAAAAAGGTTCCCGACCCCTGCAATAGAGGATAGAATTGGGGCACATTTGATTGCTCCTTATCTGTGGAAAATCAGGGCATTGGGTATCCTGAGAGTAAATCTGTCGTTTAATAATTTATCCATGACCACTTCTATGAATGACAAATAAAAACATTTCGAAGGATGGGAAATACAACTTTTTCCTAAATGTTGTGATTACTGTTATGATGTTGCTGTAAAAGTAACCGTCATTGGATTAAAACAAACCTCTGGAATAAATGTATTTCTCGTTTTAACAAACTGAAATAATCCATAAATTGTCTACGGCGCAGAATTCAATGAAACCACATTTTCAATGGGCACCTCTTACAGGTGTGTTCATTACCACAACGAAAATGTGATACGGTCTGACGAATCCACTGCTGGATGAAGGCCTCCCTGCACCTTGTGTCAGTCACTGGGATTAGTTGGACCATACTTCACCATGCTGGTCAATGCAGCTATCGTGCTGTGACGGTTCCACCTGAAGACGGAAGCTTGTGTTGCCTCCGAAACGTCGTGATTTTTTTTTACTTTGATTAATTTTAATTTTTTACCTACGTGACTTTACCGAAAAAACCTAAGAATATGAATCCTTGCAGTCACGAAAGCTTCAAATCTAGAATTATTACCCTCTACGGGGAGGAATTCCACCTATCTGTTAGAGTTTTTAACAGACGAGACAAGAAGTCACAGCTTCTCGAGACGCTGGCCTTCCTAAAGAGATGCCGAGCTAACAAGGTAATACTGTGTTCTTGGAATTTCTCTCACTTGATACAGCTATCGTGCTGTGACGGTTCCACCTGAAGACGGAAGCTTGTGTTGCCTCCGAAACGTCGTGATTTTTATTTTTATTTTACTTTTTTTAATTTTAATTTTTTACCTACGTGACTTTACCGAAAAAACCCAAGAATATTAATCCTTGCAGTCACGAAAGCTTCAAATCTAGAATGTTGAAGGAGGGCCCAGGACCGGTCCAGATGTCACTCGCCACTGATGTTAGCCGTGGTCCAAAAGTGAACTTAGATCCCCGGGTTCGTAATGCAGTACATTAACCCCACAGTTTCACTGTTTCCCACCATTACATTTTCTGCATTTTTTTAGCATTACAAAATGTATATTTAACCCGATTATAGTCCAGACATCACGACTAACAAATTTCACCAAACTTATAAACTAAGGCTCCCAAATCAGAATTGGAATATTTATTCCGACTGGAGGAATCCGATGAGCTACTACGTAAGAAGCTCTCTTTCACAGATGTTCAGTAGGGGCGGAATGCCTCCAGTGCGTAATCAGATACAATCCACACTTTTCCCACGTATAGTATGATGTCATGTGTGTGTATACATATTGAACTTCTGAGTTGGCATAATCTGTCAGTTTTAGATTTGTATTAAAAATGTCCTGTCTAAGTGTTCGGCAGGTGGATAGAATTGTAGCTGGTGGAAATTAAAGGCCCCTATCGTCTGTAACAAAGGATAGGCTTGAGCAAACCTGTCAGCCTGGACTTGTAAAAACACGGGATTATGATTGGTAGATCATGGGGCTTATGCATATGAGAGCACTATGCTGGCACCGCTAAAATCCCTGTTGTGTATATGGGCAGCCACCGGTTATTGAAGCAGCTTCTTAGATGTAGCAACTTTAAAGTCACGATAATAATTATAATAGTTAAATTTTTAACGCGCAAATTTGCAGACGTAGTGGCCGCCACTCAGAGGCGCGGAGCCAAGCTCAGAGTCGCTCGAAAGCATGATTGTAGAGGTGAGTTTTTAAGTCTCTCTTGAAGGAGGCGATTGAGGTGATGCTGCGAATGTGCAGAGGGATATCGTTCCAGACTGTTGGGGCTGCCACCGAGAAGCGGCGCATAGACACGATGACCATCCTGGATCTTGGTATCAAGAGGAGATCGTGAGTCGCGCTGCGCAGGCATCTGCCGTGTGCTGAGCTGCAAGTTGTCAATAATGAAGAAAGGTACGGCGGGCAGGCGGATATGAAGGCATT